GTATACAACCTCAGGCAGTTCTGTGCTTCTGCAGCTCTTGGCTCAAAAAGTAAGAGTGGCGTGATACAACAGATTACAAATTGATATGTTAACTGGCTGATGCGTCACAAACTCGGAAGAAGAAAAGACAGCGGAGCCCCACATGCCGTTTTCTGCCACTCTTCCCCTCCAATCACCCACGATTCTCCGATCAAGGTCTCCGGGGCACGTGATATAGACGCGCGCCTCTGGATCAGCCGCTAGTCTCTTTCTAGATAGCGGTCCCGTGTCCTGCACTAGGCCGTCTCTGGATTGGTACCTAGTTTTCTGCCTGGATTGGCGGAACGGCGATTGGCGCCGCTCAGCCGCGGGGGATTGTCCCATTTTTTCCCTCTTTGCGCTGCGGAACATTTCCATAGCCCTTCGGAAGCATCGCTATTTCTCTTTCTCTGCGTCTTTCTCTGCCTCCATCTCTGCATTCTACACATTCTCAAAATGACTGCCGAAGTCGCTGCCCGGAAATGCATCGGTGTGGATTGCGATAAGAACGCCGGAACGCTACAGTGCCCGACTTGCCTTAAACAAGGGACGGATAGCTTCTTCTGCTCGCAGGACTGTTTCAAGAAGAGCTGGGTACGGATTTCTTTTGTGCCTCTCTGCGGCGCTCGTCCTTCAACTGTGACTAACCCTCCCCTGCACAGAGCGAACACAAGTCGATTCACAAGAAGAGTAATTTCCTGAGCAACCTCTTTACACCCAAAGTAGTTTCTGAACCAGATCCAGCCACGGGGCTCTACAACCCCTTCCCTTCCTACCCTTTTGCCGGCGACTTGAGACCCGTATACCCGCTGTCCCCTCGGAGAACCGTCCCCAAGTCCATCCCTCACCCCGACTACGCCAAGGATGGTATTCCCCGGTCCGAGCAGAAGTTCGTTGGTCGCCACAACATCACTATCCTGAATAAAGAGGAGCAGGAGGGTATGCGCAAAGTGTGTCGCCTGGCTCGTGAGGTTCTGGACATTGCTGCGCGGGAGATCAAGCCCGGCGTCACAACCGACTACATTGATGAGGTGGTTCACAAGGCCTGCGTTGAGCGTGATGTAAGTGGTGTCATTGTCTGCCCGCGAAGGATGCTACAGAGGCTGTTGAATGGTCTTCGGAACTAACGCGGCTTAGTCCTACCCTTCGCCGCTCAACTACGTCAACTTCCCCAAGTCGGTATGTACCTCAATCAACGAGATCATCTGCCACGGTATCCCCGATCAGCGCCCCTTGGAGGACGGCGACATTGTCAACATCGACGTCACCCTGTACCACAACGGCTTCCACGGCGATATCAACGAGACCTACTACGTCGGCGACAAGGCCAAGGCCAACCCGGACGCCGTGCGAGTGGTGGAGACCGCGCGAGAGTGCTTGGACCAGTCCATCGCGCTGGTCAAGCCTGGCATGCTGTTCCGAGACCCTGGTAATGTGATCGAGAAGCACGCCAAGTCCCGCGACTGCAGTGTGGTCAAGAGTTATTGTGGTCACGGTATCAACCAGCTCTTCCACTGCGCTCCCAACGTTCCCCACTACGCAAAGAATAAGGCGGTCGGCACGGCCAAGCCCGGCATGTGCTTCACCATCGAGCCGATGATCAACCTGGGTACTCACCGCGACCGCACGTGGCCAGATGACTGGACCAGCTCCACTGCCGATGGCAAGCTGTCGGCTCAGTTTGAGCACACGCTGCTGGTGACGGAGGATGGCGTGGAGGTTCTGACCGCTCGCCTGCCGGACTCGCCTGGTGGTCCCATTCCCATTCCCGTGGCTGAGGAACCCAAGACAGATGCATGAATTTCATTGTTGCCAGAGAGATGAGATAGAGTAGAGCATTCATGAAGAGATTCCGTAACGTCCATGTCAACGATTTGGTGTATTTTTTGTCCTTTGACTCTGGCGTGACGTCACCATTATGGAACTGTGATATTGAGAAGACATGCATAGCCACAACTATCATGATCGGGCTTTCCTATATTCTTCCAGGGGAACCCACAATACCACGGATCTAGGATTTCTTTGCAGCATGGCTTCACTTCCAACCGGCCCGAACAACAACCTCGGCGTTGGATGAGGCGGCAGGAGATGGATAAGGAGCATAGCCAATAATGATGATAGCAGATAATGGCAGGCGGATAATCTCCGACGGTCGGACCTGGATTAGGAATAGTAGCGCATCTTATCACGATTAGGGCCTCAGGCAAAGTGGGGGTGGCAGCCTGATCCGCCTGTGATTTGTCAGGAATGGGTGGGGAGGCTTATCAGCACGTGAGAAGCACTATGAAGCACCTCATAGTCCACAAGCCTCCCTCGTCTCATCTTTTTTCCTTTCCTGTGCCTGCAATTCATGTGCATATTGACGCTCTAGTCTCTAGTCAGTGGAGACGGTGCTGGAGTCAAACATGTCCACGGAAAGAACCCCGACAGAGACATCCCCGTTGCTGGGGTCTCAAAGTAACACTCAACCCACAGGAGCTATCTCCAATATCGGCGGCGATGTTGAGGCTGGCACCCAACAACTCCCCGCGCGGGACGAGGAGGAGGATCAGATCAAAATTGCGTCGGAGGCACGCCCAAACCTGAAGTATATCCTTCCAGCAATCTCTATAGGGGTAGGTATTCTTGCTTGTCATTCAAATAGACAAAGTGCTAATTCTTTTGACTAGATCTTCTTGTCTGCAGCCGATCAGACCATCATCATGGCTAGTTATGGTCAAATTGGTAGCGATCTCAAGGCACTGAACCTGACAAATTGGATCGCTACCTCGTATTTCTTGACTCTGACTTCCTTCCAACCCCTGTATGGAAAATTGAGCGACATTTTTGGTCGCAAGACCTGCTTGTTGTTTGCCTATGCCATTTTCGGAATTGGCTGTCTGTTCTGTGGTCTTGCGCAGGATATCAACCAGCTCATCGCTGCACGGGTGAGTGATTCTGTTCCTCTGTACTTGATATGTGCTAATCGGGAACCCTACTACAGGTTTTCCAAGGTGTCGGCGGCGGCGGTATGACGACTGTCGTCAGCATCCTCATGAGCGATATCGTGCCTCTCCGCGAACGAGGTGTGTGGCAGGGGATCATCAACATGATCTACGCGACCGGTGCCGGAGTTGGCGCACCACTCGGTAAGACCCTCGCGCTGCTATTTTCTGCTTTCCGCTGACCAGTCACTGCAGGTGGCATCTTGGCCGATTACATCGGCTGGCGATGGTGAGTCCCCTCTACTGTGTTGGACAAACAGAACAGACCTCTAACCCTATGTCGCCAGGGCGTTCATCGCGCAGGCACCCCTCTGCGCACTTGCCTTCGTCGCCGTTACCTTGATGCTTCACCTGCCGGCCGTGGAGGATAGTCACTGGCGGACGAAATTGGGGCGCATCGACTTCCCCGGGGCGATCGTTCTGGTGGGGGCGGTCTTCGGGTTCCTGCTGGGGCTGGACCGCGGCAGCAACGTCTCGTGGACGATCCCGATCACCGTGATCTCGCTGAGCGTTTCGGTGGCGCTCTTCGTGCTCTTCGTGGTGGTGGAGTGTTTCTACGCCGCCGAGCCCTTCGCCCCGGGCCACATCATCTTCAACAAGACCTTCTTCGCCGCCTACGGCTGCAACTTCTTCAGCTTCGGCGGCTGGCTGGCCGCCCTCTTCTACATCCCGCTGTACTTCCAGGCCGTCGACGGCGTCTCGGCCACGATCGCCGGCTTGCGCCTGCTGCCCAGCATCCTCGCCGGCGTCAGCGGCTCGCTCTTCGCCGGCTTCGTGATGAAGTGGACGGGCAAGTTCTACTGGCTGACGGTCTTCGCGTACGCGTTGCTCACGCTGGGCTTGACGATCATCACCCTCGCCTCCGGCGGCGCCTTCGCGAACACCACCGTCATGGTCCTGGGCACGGTGTTCTGTGCCTTTGGCAACGGCACCGGCGTCACATCCACGCTAATCAGCCTGAGTACGTCCGCCCCTCCCCCCGCCCTTTTCATCCCATACCCATAACACCCCCCACCCTCCCCCTCACCGCTAACTTTTCTGGCCAACAGTCTCAAACGCAACCCCCGAAGACCAAGCCGTCGTAACAGCCTGCTCGTACCTCTTCCGCTCGCTCGGCTCCGTCATCGGCCTCTCGCTCTCCTCGACCGTCGTGCAGCAGGTCCTCCGCGACCGGCTGCAGTGGGCCCTGCGCGACAGCGACGACATCGATTCGATCGTGGCCGGCGTCCGCCAGAGTCTGGACTTCATCAAGACGCTCGATCCCGCCGTGGCCAAGGTGGTGCGCAGCTGCTACGGCTGGGCGACCAATAAGAGCTTTGCCTTTGTGGTTGGGGTCGTGTTCTGCTCGCTTGTGTCGAGTTTGTTTATTCATGAGAAGAGGTTGAGTCGGTGAGACCGGGTTGCCCGGATTTGACATGGGATGTGATTGTGTTGTGTTACCATAAGCTTTGGGCTCTGGGCTCTGGGCTCTGGGTGGATGGAAAGGATATGATTATGGGCTATGTAGCGTTTTAACACTCCTTTTTCTTCGCGTGTGTAAAAAGTCTCGGTTTTATAGCGAGGAGGGATGTGGCGGGGTATTTTTAGGGGGTCTTGTTGGTCTGAGGGGTAGATAGTTCCTGCATGCTTAGATGGGCACATGAATATATGTCTATATTATAAAGGATACGATGTCGTACGAGGCGTGCCGGTCAAGTTAGTCACTGTTTCTAGTGACTATACGGCGAGAGTCAGAGATCAGCAATGTATCTGTAGATAGAATCACGGATCACGACGCTCGAACTGGTAGCCACTAGGGATCTTCGATATAGTCAGGGTTCCAAAACCCTAAAGGGCGGAATGGCCCCGGCCTACCACATCAGACCTCCAGCGCTCATCCTCTGGTGACACACTCAACCCCAAACCGACCAGAGCTTCTATATACTATACACTCAGAGGGAAAGCAGAACCACGTTCTTCGACATCCCCCGCTCTATCCTGTTGAATAGAGAAAGCAATCTACCGAATCTCAGCCTTCATAGCCACCACCTCCCCCGGCCCCAGAATCTCAACCCGCCCCACCCCATCCCGCGCCTCCTCATCCAGCACCACCCGATACTCCTCCTCGACATACAGCGGGCTCGTCGCGCGGTAGCTGATGCTCTCCGGCAGCGGCAGCGGCAGCGGCAACCCCCGAGAGCCCCGCGTATCGCGCCACAGATCCAGCATGGCAATCAGGTTCAACGGCCCGTGCACGACGATGTCGCGGTGGCCCTCGACCTCGCGCGCCCACGGCGTCGCGTAGTGGATCTTGTGCGGGTTGAAGGTCAAGGCCGAGAACCGGAAGAGCGTGACGGGGGTCTGCCGGAGGGTGCGCGTGTGGGTCTTGCCTGTTGTTGTTGTTGTTGTCGTGGCACTGGGACTTGGGTTGCTGTTTTCGGTTGTTGTTGTTGGTGGGGGTCGTGGGGTGGTGGATGGTGGGACGGGGGATGGTAGGGCTTTGCGGAAGATCCAGTTCCTGATTCCCTCTCCCTCCTGGTTAGAATTCGTGGCATAGAGGGATGGGGGACAGGGAGAGGGGCGGGTTTGAGCGCAATGCTGCGGATCTTGGGGGACTTTTGGTGCAGGAAAACTATACTAAAATGAGGGGGGGCTGGACGAACGGACGCACCTCCGATCTACAACCGCGACTCCATCCTCATTGCGGAATTCCTTCTCCACGCCGACCACGATCATCTCTTCGCCGGTCTTGCGGACGACCTTGGGCGAGGCGCTCAGCACCCGCGTCGTCTCGTGGACCTCCTGGCCCACTCGGAGGAAATTCGGTCGGCCGGTCGTGGCGTCCCGCGGCCATTGCACCTCCCCGCCGGCCCACATGCGGCGGGTGAAGGGGGCGGCTGGATTGTAGGAGGTGTCGGTGCCGTCGAGGCCGAGTTCGGTTTCGAGGAATGCCGGGGTGAAGTAGACGAGGTGGTAGCCGGCGGGGAGCGGGGTGCCGGGAGGGAGCGGCGTCGAGGCGTTGGACAGGGATGGGGAGGAGGGGAAGAGAGCGGGCCGGCTGAGCGTGAGCGACAGGAGCTGGAGTTGGTTGGCATCGAGGATTTGCGTGCGAGTTTGCGGGCCCAGGGATTGGAAGCGCGAGAGGAAGGCTGTTGCAATGGCGGATGCGGAGGTGGAGGTGGAGATGTTGGAGTTCGTGCGGAGAGGGTTGTGGGTGGAGAATTGGCGGCTGGCTCTTGTTGCATTGAGGCAGTATTGAAGCCGCATGCATTGTAGCGAGGGACAGCGTGTCATGGAGAAGGACATGGTGGGATACCGGGTGATTCGTGGTGTTGAGTGCCTGTGCTGTTGGGGACTGGTGAGTAAGTGCAGAGATCTCCAACTGCTGGCGCGGGGAGACGCGATGGGCAATTTATAGTTACCTCGGTCTCGATGGAAGTCTTTCCGAGACCGGGGACTTTCCGAGTAGCCGTTATGCTCGAGATCGGCATTGATCTGGGTACAGTACAAAGACCAGATACGCGGTCAAGATAACGCGACCGCTCGAATGTGTTTCAAACTGAGTGAACTTCAAGTTGTCTATCATCTTGAGCATCTGGCTCAGTGTGCGTCTTCCTCGCGACTGTTTGCAGCATACAAGTACCGCATAAGCGTATAAGTCCCCGAGGTCAGATAGCCTCGAGAAGCCAGCGATCTTCCAAGAAGACCCACTCAGTGGATCCCTTCGGCATCTCGACTACTCATATTCTAGTATGTTCCCGTTCAGCTCAGTAAGCCCACTGTTTGAACATTGTTTGAAATTATGCGGAAACTATAGACATGGTATACCTTGGTATGTACTGTGCTTTGGAAAATCCCCAGAATATATGTGCCCGACACATATCATATCCTGTCATCCACCTTCACAACTTTACCTTCCCAGCTTGCAATCGACTCCAGTCATCTCGCTCAAATGGAACGTATTGGCTGCCCTGCAGCCAGTACAATTTGTCGTCGGCAGCAACCAGTGACGGATCCACCCCTTGCGACTGCAAAACATGCTTCTGTTGCTTGTTGTTCCCTGTCGTCTGCATAGCCCGCGTGATGCGCAGAAACTGCGGGGCGGCATAACGCGGCAAGTTCTTCAAAACATGTGCCGACAAACTGCTCAATGTCTCCTGAGAAGGAGGAATCAGAGCAGTAGAATCCTCAGCGCGGGTCTGCTGTTGAAGAAGAAGAGTCGCACAGCCAGCCCGGCCATCGTGGTGGGGAAGCGCCACCCCGTACACATTCGCTTCGTGCACGTCAGCATGGCCACCTAGCACTTCGGCCACCTCGGCAGTAGACACATTCTCGCTCTTCCAGCGGTATGTATCGCCCAAACGGTCGTTGAAGTACCATCGGCCCTCTTTATCCCATCGGACCAGGTCGCCAGTCCGGAAATAGGCGTCGCCCTTGCGCAGAACATCCCGAACAAGCTTGCCTTCCGAGGCCTTGGAGTTGTTAAAATACCCGGTGAAGGTCTCCTTGGGATCCGTGGGGTCCACCGCCCACAGCAATTCTCCAGGCTCACCTCGAGGCATCGCTTTGCAGAAGCCAGTCTTCGGGTCGCGCCAAAGCTGCTGCGAGACTTCATCAATCTTGACAACCACTACACTGCGCCGGAGAATCCAACCAGTGAACCCTCCGTTCCGACCAATAGCCCCGGCGGTGAAATCATTGGAAGAAAGATTCCATGACCCGGATGTACCCTCAGTGGATGCGTAGAACTCGGCGATGGTAGGGATATTGAAGCGCTGCTTCACTCGATTCCAGATGTCTGGACGGAGGCCGTTGCCCACTGCCAGGCGAAGGTTATGCTTCTTGTCCAAATCCTCCCCAGTGACTGGGTCGAGAGCAGGAGGCACAGCAAGGAGGTATCGCAGGGTCTCACCCACGTATTGGATGATTGTCGCATCGCTTTCCCGTACCTCTTGCCAGAAGTTGCGCGCAGAGAATTTGCGGCCAACAAGGGCCGTGCAGCCAGCCCAGAGGCACGGCATGACAGCTAGCAGAGAAGCCGATGAGTGGTATAATGGCATGGACTGCCTCAAGTCAGCAATCACTCTCGAGGCGAAGGGGATAACCTACTGTATAATATCGGTCCGTGCTCTGAAGACTGAGCCAGTTCGTGATCATGATACCTGAACTCCAAGCCTTTCTCCAGCCGATAATAGCAGGTTTCGGAAGACCCGTAGTCCCACTTGTATAGATAAGCAGAGCTGTGTCCCGCATCCTGATGCCATCACGGACTTTGTCATCCTCTCGGATGGGCTCCATTTGTAGGATCTGCGATTCTAATTCAGGTGTGAAGAAAACCACATCCACAGATCCTTTGCCTTCTCGAAATTCTGGGGAGGCGAAACTTTCAAGCTGTTCAGAAGGGATCTGGGTACGCAGCTCCTCGTCCACCAGCAGCAACCTTGCGGATGAGGTCAAAATGGAATGTGTCAGAGGCTTCCCCATTAGATTGTAATTGATAAAAGCGGGGATGGCGCCAATGCTCCAGAGACCAAGCCAGATGAAGATGAAAGTTGACGAGTTCATGAAGCCCATGGCCACAACCTCCCTGGCTTTGACGCCATGTACACTCTTGAGCCAGGCACCGTACTGCAATGCTGTAGTGTAAGTCTCTCGGAAAGTCCAGGTGCGGCCGTTGTAGACAAGAAACGGCCGGTCCTTCATTTTAGGGTTCAAGGCCTGGTCTTCGAGCTTGTAGAATAAGTTGACTTTATCGCGACGCTCGCCCGACCGAAGATTGAAGGCAACCTTGAGAAGAACCTTGATCAATATGCGATCATAGAAGAGCGAGTACTTCGCATTCAAATAAGCGAGGGTAGTAGCCAGCGCCGGCCCGGCAAGAGCCAGAGGGACATCTAGCTAAGTCAGTGATATGAAACCATATACTTTTCAATGTTCTAGCATATTCACCAGGAATCTCAACCATACTGCCTAGCCACTAGGCAAGTGACAAGAACTTCGGGGAGTTGGGAAGGTCAACGGTAGGGGGGGGGAAGGATGGGGGGCAGGAGGACCTCAAATCTCGCACGACACTCCAACAGCACAGAAGCCAAAAGAAAGTGCAAGGAGAGGGGTGCAATGAAGGTATTAAAGAAGGGAAAGAGGGGTCGTGGGTGAGTATCCATTCTTTAGAAGGCTCATGACTTAAACGGGGCAGAACAATGAACGACAGACATCATACCGGTTCATACCTCGGCTGGAGGACTATGCAGAGTTATGCAGTGGATGAACTTCTCCGGTATGGAAGTATGAATGGGGGATAAAGTTGGCGAGGCCCCACCAACTGCTCCGTACTAGGTAGGTAACTAACTTACCCACCCCGCCTAACATCACCGATCCCATCAATTGATCGCATCCACTGGATCTCATAGTTACTCGCTCGATATGATTTTAGGAACCAGGCACGGGTACCGTGCACCTCACCTTTCTGCCTTTTTTTTCGAATAGCGATCACTTTTTCGCCTAGGAGTTATTTCATGACAAGAGTAGATATTACAGTTACGGTATGTCCGCTTTTTCAGCCTAGGTTTCACATGGCCAAGCAATTTAGGCGTTGTGAACGTTACTCGAGTGTGCTGTGCATGGATGCTAACCATCTTCTCAGGGCTAACAATAACCTTTGTTCTTAGGTGACCCTGTCACCAAAGGCATATCGCACAACAAGATCGCGTTAACATGGCAGCCATGAATAGCTTTGTGGACCCCCGGAACCTCCAGTTGTATTTCCAATCCACCGACTGTGGGTCTCTGAAGCTTGGAGTCGCTTAGCATGACAACAACAATAGTCGTATTGTTATTGGGCTTCATTGGACCTCGGGATACCTAGTAATAATGAGGACACCGTTGGCCATTGAAGTAGCCGTTCGCCACCACCCTCGAGCAAAGTCAAGCCAAGGCGACCATTCTGTAGGCAGCGAGTGATAGGGGGACTAAGCTGGTCCTCCGACAGGTCGTTGGGGTAAGTCATAGACAGAGGGTGCGACATAGATCAGCCACACTGGAGGTGATACTGGGCTTCAAATGGTTGACCACTAGACCCTCGTAGTCGCGGTAAGAGCAGCGTGCCTAATGCGGGGGCGTGTGTCAGCGCTCGGAACTATGCGTGTCTTTGGTTCCCGAAGTACAGTACAGTTCAGATTTCCTGGGGAGGGGCGCGCACGAACGAATTGGCCGAATCACAACCCCTTGAAGATCACTTTTCTTGTTGAGTCGCATTTCTTGCTGAGGAAACATGGCATTCCAGTTTTCAATTCCACTTCTCAATGCTTCTGAGGTTATTTGACGGATGATGAATGCACAAGCAACAAAGTGGGTGGGAAATAAATATATTTTGAGAGTACAGGTACAAAGGCAAGGTAAGATTAGACAGCAATTTGACCTCACACAGGTCGATTTAAGTTCACAATCGAAGCAAATATTACGATACTAATCTTAACGAAATCAAGAATGCGTTGAACAGAAGGGAATAATCCAGATAAGACAGTTCCTGGTACCTGCCCTGTGCCTGCTCAGCTGGCAGTGGTACGCAGTAGCTTCCCGAGAACTCATTGGTGCCCCAGGCTGTCAGGCCATGGCTGGTTTAGCGCATCTCCGCCCTCGTCATCGCCCCAACCCCGAACCCCAACCGGTTTCCCTTCCAACCTCCGACCTCCTCATCTCTCGCCTTCATCAACTTACCGCCTCTTTGCTTGTTTTTGTCGCGCGTCTCATTTCCATCCACACAAGCAATTTCGGTCCTTCTTCCTGATACTCTTCTTTCTTGCCCAGCCTGTTGGTAGCCTTCTTCTGATAGGGAAGCCCGATGCACCACTTGGCTTCTTGATTACTTCGGCGTTGCTCGTCATTTACTCCGCATTCGCCCTCTCTCCGGTGCGCACCTCAATCGATATTCGCCAGCAATCTTCTTGTCTCTCCGGGTACATTGTCGCTGACAACTATGCTTTCTTTCTAGCTCAGGATGAGGCTTGCCTCAATACTACACCTTTCGCTGGCCTTCGGGCTCTCGTTATCTGCATCTGCTGTTGCAGCGCGGAGCAACTACTCCGAAGCCGAGCTAATACCTCCGCTCTTCTCCACCTTCAGCGATCGGCCAGACGGGTGCCCTCCGTGCTTCAACTGTCAACTAGACGCCTTCCAATGCGCCCAGTATGCATCATGCGATAGGTTCACAGGAAAATGTGTCTGTCCGCCCGGCTTCGGAGGCGATGATTGTGCACAGCCGTTGTGTG